AGCGCATCTTACTTCTTGAAGCCCGCCGGGGGCAGGATGTTGCCGTGGGCATCGAGCGGAGGTGCCCTCGCTTCGCTCCTCAGCTTGAGCTTCTCCGCCTCCTTGAGCTGCTTCGTCACCCTGAAAATCACCTGCTTCTTCCTATTCACGTCCACAAAGATGGGAGTACAGTGGATGAAGGTCAGGAAGTCGTTCCGCCCCATCCGGGAGGGCGGCGGCACGGGGGGCTCGGCTGGGGGCTGGCGGCGGGCGTTGGAGTCGATCAGCCAGCGCCAGACATTGCTGTCGTAGGGCCGCTCGGGCCTCGGGGGGAAGGCGGCGGGCAAGCGCCCCACGTCGAGCCACGTGTGAAAGCCCCAGGTGTGCTGGGCTGCGTCCTTCCAAGGGCGGATTAGCCGCTGCCGCACCCTGGACTTCATTTCCGTGCAGGGCGGCGGCTGCAGCGCCAGCTGGTGGCAGGCTTGCGGGCGGAAGCCGGGGAACTCCGGGGACTCGCCGGGCCGCAGGAACTCACGCTGAGCCCACGTCGTCGGGGAGGCTGGCAGGGACTCATGGGCCTGGACCATCTGGGGAGACAAGAGGGAGCCTGGGGACGGTTGTGCCAGCAGGGTGCAGGGGGTGGTGAGGCACAGCCAGAGAAGACAGGCCTGATATCAGCCTCCTCCACCCCGCAGGGAGTCAGCTCCCTGCTCTCCGCCCCGTCCGGCCCTGCTGCCTATCGCTCTCAGGGATGATCTCTCATCTTTTATCTTGCCTTTGATGTCCCACCCTCCGTCCTCAGCTTTCACTCTTTACCTTCGCCCCCCTTCTCCATTCTGGCGCCCCCACATTCCTGCCTGGCCCCGGTGCTCCTCAGAAGGCACACCAGGCCTGAGGAGGTCATGACAGGAAATGCCCCATAGACAGCCCAGCGTAGACGCCTGTCTTCAGGTGTCCTGGTCCTGGTGACATGCCAGAAAAGTCCTCCAGAAAATGGGGGCTGGGTGTTTTCCCATCCCGGTGTCCTCTTGTTACTCTGTCATCAGTGTTTTTCCCTCACTTCTCATGAAAATGCAAGTATAGAAAACATCTAGAAGGGCAGTTCGTTCCGTATCTGCACCCTGCTCCTCACGAAACACGCAGCCGCAAGCAGGTGTTGACACTGCGCTACGTACTTAGTGCATCTCACACTTAACCAGCACAACTCTACGAGCAAGTATTGCTATTGTCCCCATCTCAGAGATGCAAAAAGCAAGACATAGGGAGG